GGGGGGTCAGCGGCACCCGCCGCAGGAGGGGACCACGCGGGAACCGGCTCGGCTCCCCGAGTCTCTCGGGCATTAACTCGCACAGTGCCGCGCCCGCCTGCCGCCAGCACTTTCGCCACCAACACGAAGCAGCTGAACGCCGCCGGAAGGCCGAACCGGCACCGTCATCTCACCGGCTCCACAGCGGATCCAGCCACACCAGGCGTCCGGTACCGACGGGCTGCGGGAGGTCTCCCAAGGACATCTTGAAGCACCCAAAGACCTCCCGACAATCCGAAGGGTGCTGCCACAGCCATGGAACCAACGGCTTAACACGCGCACCTGTCCAGAGAGCCGTCACTGCGGTGCCCCATGGACATCTCCCCTCGCTGCCGAGGGGCCCACACCATCACCACAGCACCGCGCGACCCGTTTGCTACACAGTGCATCCCTGCGTGAAGGAGCTGCTGCGCTGTCTCAGCCACCCCGACCCTTGTCTGCATCGGTGTAGGAACGCCAGCGTGCTTCCAGCCTTGCAGGCTGTTTCCCTCCCCGCTAGGGCAGGTATTTCTGTGGAGTGCTGCATTGCAGGCCAGAGATGTGCCCTACACTGTCCTCGGGAAGTCTTACACACACCCAGGCAGGGTTTAGCCACCTGTACAAGGTGCTGGTTTCCTCTAAAAGTTGTAAGAGAAACTGGTATTTGTATATGACTCTTCTCCATCCCCACAAATCCCAGTTTCCTTGGGGCTCCCACTGTAACGCTGCTGGAGGTGGAGTGGCTCAGAAGGGAATTCACAACCATTACCTTGCCCAGCAGGAGCTCCCCGGAGCTGGACTATGAAAAACCAACCAGAGCAGCATGTCTGAAATCCTCTAGAATTTAATTGCTGCAGAAAACCTTTAGCTACTTGCCTGCACTGTCCTATCCTAAACAATGGGATTTCAAAACATCTCGAAAGAGTCCAAGAGGAGCTCAAACTTCCCAGATATGCCCAGGAGAGGTTGTGTTGTGCCATTTTCTATGTATAGAAAGTGCACTGACAGGAAGAGAGCAGGATTCAAGCTCTTTTGTGGGATCAAAGATATACTGAGCAATCACTAGATAGTTTTACCAGGGAGATTTTGAACAAAGCCCGGACAAAACACGA